AGTCACGCTAAGCTGCTACGTGTAGCAGCATCCGAAGAGTAGTCATCTTCGGGGTCGGAGCGAAAGTCTGAAAGAAGTCCACCCCCTTTCGCTGATTGAAACCTCTAGCCACGTAGCGCGCCTTGAACACAGGCGGCACTCCAAGAGGGCGCTTCACCTTGAAGAGCCAGCGGCCATCGACTACGTTCACCCCAGGTGGGGGAACTGCGTCGACGTAGGTGCCGGTGGATCTCCAAGATGCCATCTCCTGCTCCATGGCAGCTATCCACTGAGAGGCCCAAGGTCCCGAAACAGCCTCAGCGTAAGTGCAAGGGGTCGGGATGTCGAAAGCGTCTGGGTCACCCTCAGGGACTAGCAGCATGGAACAGAGATGGGGAGCAGCCTCGGACAGGAAAGTAAGATCGGACTGGCGGTCCTCCAGGAAGTCCCTGCCAAGGGCAGAAGCACCCCCGACAGACGGAGGACAGGCAGGGTCAGAGACCAGAGCGGTGGCGTAGTCAAGGTGGCGGGTAGAGGCGAAGTCAGCGACCGCAGCGACAAGAGCACCAAGACACGAGATCGGGACGGACGGGTCGGTAACGAGAGAGACGAGGACCCGAGGAACAAGAGGACGAGCGGCACGAAGGTAGTCAGGCAGAAAGGGAAGTGCAACGGTAAGAGAGGACGGAGGAGGCGACGGGAGAAGGGGAGGACGAGACGCGTGGGAACGGAGCAACATAGGGTGAGAGCGCATGACAGGGGAGACAGGACGAGCGCGAGAGGGACGGCGAGACCAGACATGAGACGGAGGTGTCGGGTCAGGAGACAGAGGAGGGGACACAAGGGGGGAGCGAGGGGGAAGACGAGCCGGGGACGAGTCCAGCGGAGGGAACATAGGGCCGTAGACAGGAAGAGGAGGAGACGGCAGGAGAGGAACAGACGCAGGGTCAGGGGACGGAAGGTCGAGCAGGCGAAGGGCTGACACCGGCGGGGATTGCTGCTGCGGCGGCACAACACCGACACCGGGACCGCAAGCTGCTCCTCTGCTACCTCCGGGACACTCCACTCCTGCACCCCCAGAAGGAACACCCCAAGAGCCCGAAACCCCTCGAGCACTGGTACCACCCCCAGGGCCAGCGGGACAAGCCACGACAGGAGCCCCAGGACTAGTACCCACCCTAACGCCAGCACCCTCAGAGTCAATGAACTGCTGCTGCGACGGCGGTGGCGGCGGAGACGATGGCTGCGACAGCAGAGGTGACGGCGGCTGCAGAGGCGGTGGAGGAGGAGACACCTGGGGAGGGGCAGACGGCGAGGACTGCGCCACAGGACCACCAGAGTCAGAAGACTCCTCGACATGGACAACCGACAGGAGGGGGGTGACGTGGGACACACCAGAGGGGGCAGGATGGGGAGGGGGAGGGGGGGGGGGCAGGGACCACCGGGGAAGGAGTGACCAGGAATAAGGGGGGAGTAACTGGGGGACCGCGGTGGGGGAAGTGACTGTAGAAGGAGACGGACTCGTCAAAGGTGACGTCGCGAAAGTGAAAGAACCGGTGAGACGGCGGGTGGTAGAAGTGCCAGTCGGACGCGTCAAGGGGAAAACCGAGGAAGACACAGGGAAGGGTGTGGGCAGTGAGCTTGTCCGTGCCAGAGGCACGGACGCGAGCAGGGCAGCCCCAGACGTGGAACGCAGGCGCGTCACCAGGAGACCCGGTCCAAAGAAGGACGGCAAAACCTGCGGCTGCTGGGGTGCGGCCACAAGTTAAGCTGGTGAGAAGCGTAGCGCACAGCGAACGGCCACAGAAAATGGGGTGCACCGGCATGGATCATGGAGGTGCGAGCCACCTCCATGACCAAACCGATGTGTCGCTCAGCGACCCCATTCTGCTGTGGGGAGTCCGGCAGGGTGAACGTCTGGGTGATGCCCTCTGCACGACAGAAGCGACCAAGGACACCTGAGGCAAACTTGCCACCACGGTCGGAGTGAAGACGGAAGACAGGGAGACCGTGGTGAACATGCGCAGCCACAAGCCAGGGGATGAGAGCGGCAGGCACGTCAGCCTTTCGCTCCAGGGGAAAGACTGTGCTGTAGCGAGTGAAGTCGTCGACAAGCACTAGGAAGTAGCGCTCTCGACGCGGCCCATGGACGGGGGGGGGGGGGGGGGGGGGGGGGGCCAGACGTCCATGTGCAGGGTCTGCATTGACGCGGCGGTAGGGGGATACGAGGAGGAGTGAGGGGCACGGCGAAGTCGACCCTCGACACAAGGTGTGCACAGTGGGGCGGGGGAGGAGGGAAAGGCGGGGAACAAACCGGGAAGACCAAGGACAAGACCGTGCTGGGACATGTGACGTAGACGCGGGAGCGCAGGGTGACCGAGGCGGTGGTGCCACAGGAGAGTCGGGTGAGTGAGGGACCGACAGGAGCAGGCAGCAGCAACCTGGGTAGACGCAGCCACCTGAGGGGGCGCCCCAGCCGGGAGGGTCACGGTGTCCAGTGTGAACAGGCCGGACACCAAGTCCCGGGGGAACGTGGCACCAGTGGCGGCCTCGGTACAGACAGCATACCGCTCGTAACCAGGGAACGTAGTGGTGACGCTAAGGTCCTGGAGGCAGCCGACACCAACTAGGTTCCTGGAGAACGAGGGGATATGCAGACCTGTGAGAGAGCCCAAAGGAACCGCCAGACAGGGAAGGGTGGTGGGTTTACGCGCAACTACCGGACCGCCGGAGGGGTCAGCAAGAGAAACTGCAGCAGGAACAGGAAGCGGCGTCAGCGTAGTGGAGTCGTGGAAGAAACACCGGGAAGCGCCAGAATCCAAGGTGACGGAAAGCGAAGTAGTGGCGTCTGGCGACTGGGCAGCGGCGGAAGCACCAAGGCTAAACAAAGCAGGAGATCCTACGCCTGACGCAGCAGGTGAGGCTAAGCTAGGCACACCAACACTAGGCGACAAAGAGTAATAAGTGGGTAGCACACTAGAGTCATCAGCGTACATCACATGCAGGGCAGCAACAATGTCATCCATTTCCATGTCAAAAATCTTAACTCTACGAGTAAGCAAATTGCGCCAGTCCGGGAGGTTGGGCGACGTGCTGAAGCGCTGACGAAACAGGTCGTCCAGGCGACGAAAACAGCAGGAAGTGGTGTGACCGATCTTACCGCAAACGAAGCCGCGGCAAGGACCGGTCTGGAGCTGGTACTGACAGCGCACGCCTCCCGAACCGCCACCCGGCACACCACCACGCGCACGACCACCACCAGCGCCAGGCCACCCGGGCGGGAGACCACTCGCCCGCCTCGTCTGCTACGGCTGCTACGGCTGGTGCGGGGGCTGCGGCTGCTGGGGCGGCTGCTCGGCTGGACCTGGCAGGGTCCCCTCGTCCGCGCCACCACCAGGCGACCCGACGCCGCCACCACCTCCACCTGCACCCCCACCCCCTCCATCTCGCCCAGCCTTGGGGCGGCACTGCAGCGGCGGTCTCAGCCATAGCTGCAGAATCATCGGAGAAGGTGCACTGAGCGGGGGCGCAACCCTGAAAGATAGGGACCTGCACAGTACCACTCGCCTGGGCGATAGAGCGGTGGCGGGTCTCGATAACAGGCAGGGTGTCTACTAAGTCTGTGAGGGTGAGGTCACCGGGGTGAACGCTAAGGAAGCGGTCACGAGCAGAGGCAAGGCGGTCAGGGAGGCGGGTGGCAAGCAGGTAGAGGGAAGAGGTAAGGGGCGGCTGATGGACTCTAAGCTGTGCGTCAGTGCAGGCAGCGGGCCAGGTCTCATCTATCGTGCACAGGTGGCCAGCCAGGTCAGCGACCGTGGGGAACGACGCTAGGTCAGGGAAGAGGAGAGGGAGGATCAGGCGACCCACCGAGGCAGCAAGCGGGGTGGAATAGCGCTGGATAACAGCATCTAAGAAAGCCTGGGCGGTGGTGATAGACCGAAAGCGAGGGCGCTCAGACAGGGGGAGGGCATTGCTAATGGCAAGCTGTGCGACAGCGTCACGGGAAAGCCAGACAGAGCGAGCAAGGGCAGCGGCCGCAGCAGACTCACGCTCAGCAGGTGTGGGGTCAGCTGGCAGCGCAGCAGGGGGGTCTGGGCAGGGAAGCGTATCGTCAAGGTGTACCCAAAGCGAGTGGCCATCCTGCCGCTGGCAAGTGAGGTGGCGGCGGAGGTCGGCTAGCCACGCCTCGAACTCCAGAGGCTGGCCTTCAGCGTCGAAGCGAAGCTCCCCCGCCATCAGGATTTGTGCAGGGCGACGCCAGGCGAGTCAGTGGAGTGCAGTGTGGCGCAGTGCGGTACAGTGCGGTACAGTGGGGTGCAGTGCGGTGCAGTGCGGTACAGTGTGGTGCAGTGCGAGGTAGTGCGGTGCAGCGCGGCACAGTGCAGTGCAATGTGATTTAGATCCTTACCAGGGAAGGTGCAGGGCGGAAGCGGGCACGAAGAGCGGGCCGCACACAAGTCGGCGGCAGATCGGCGGGAAGGTGAGCACGGGGCCAGAGGTCGACAGGCAAGGCACGCGCAGGGGCTGGCAGGACGGGCGTAGGGGCCAGTAGGACGGGCGCCGGGCCGGCGAGTACCAGCGCAGAGGCTGGTAGGACGGGCGCGGGGGCCGGCTCGGCCAGGTGCGGGGGCCAGTTGGACGGGCGCAGGGCCTGCGATGACGAGTGCAGGGGCTGGCTAGGACGGGCACGGGGGCCAGCGTAAATCTTTATGAGAGGTCTGAAAAAACAGGGAGCTGACAGGCGGGGGCTCTGAGCGATCAGCATGCTCCAAAACGCATCTGAATACCTGTTTCTGACTATAGGTGGAATCTGATTGATGAAATATGTTGTGCATTCCGGGTTTAGGGTGTATGTGTATATTGTGACAATGATCGTACCTGTTGTAGACAACCGTGGTACTGAGCGGCAATATACTTTCCATTGTATCTCTTTCTCTTCTAGTCCTTCCCTTTTTTCTCTCCTAACTGCTACCCCCTTTCATCTCGACCTATCATCGCTTCCTAGCTACTCCTACCTAACGCCCTTCTAACAATGCCAAGGTATGGCAGACAAGTCTGATGAATCAGACAACCCCAAAACCAAATTGGGGGCCAGCTTGTAGCTGACATCACTCTGGCATTGGGTTTGTGGTCCTACTAGCATCACTCTGGCATTCTTAGACCGTGAATATCAGAGGTTGCAGTACTCTAAATGTGTCAAATCAAATACCTATCTGCACTTAAGAAAATTTCCAGCAGTCTCTGCTCTACTGCGAAGGCCAGCGCGAAGAGGTGTAGACAAAGATGGGGGATGCTCAGGTGGGAGGAATGGATGATGGTAAGCAAGCCAGCGGTGAAGAAAAAGGCGGACGGTGGGGAGGAAAGGAAAACGGGGAGTAGGGGAGAGTGGAGGCAATAGCATGGTAAGGGGGGCGAGGAAAAGAATGGGGTGTGTGAGTGAGCGAGTGTAGAAAGAGGTGGGGGCAGGTGGACAAGAGGATGAAGAATTCGGGGAGGAGAGGGCACCCTAGGAACGCGGGGAAGGTGCGTGAAGGGGGGTCTAGGGAAAAGGACAGGAGGTGATAATGCAGGGCAGGAGGACAACGCAAGCTGTTGAACAGGAACTGGACGAGTGGAACTTGGACACAAAGAAACGAAAGGGTATTGAAGAATGGCGGTGAGGGTCAGTCCAGGGTGCGGACAGATATCAAGAACAAGGCGAAAGGAGACGGGGAGAGACGACGAAGGGAGGGGAAGGCAGAGAAATAAGGGAAGGGGAGAGCTGTTGGAGACGGGGGAAAGGGGGGATCAGAATAAGAGGGAGGGTGTGTAGGAGGCAATCGACGGCTTACGCTCAAACAAAATCTCTCGATTTGTCGTGGTCTGACATCGAATGAGCTGATGTTACCGAGGAACGGATCTGCCAACGACCCCTGACATTTCCGACTTATCTTTCTGACCGCACTCGGTACCAGTTTCGCGCACCCAGCTTCCCAGACCTACCTTTGCTCAGCATCGTTGCAAGCCAGATGAGGAATAAAATGATACTTCTTTATGACGTATATGTGTACACGGGAGGAGAAGACTGCTATGCTGTGGAATGTCTGGATACCATGAGATACAGATTGCGAGATCTGTTCGATGTATACTAAACTGGCAGTCAAAAGATCTCCCACCTCGTAGTAAGAAAATCGAATAGATCAAGAACAATCAGTTCTCCGTGATGGCCTTGGGCTTTGGAGGACCATCCTGCACATAAGATGGCAAAACGAAAAGAGGGACGCGAAAATCTTTGTGCTATATTTACGATGAGTCATATGATTCACAAGTAGGATGATTCATACCATAGGCGGCTCCATAAGCCGGTTTGATTGCGAACAGAAATCAAACGCGTCAAAGAACATAGAAGTAGAACGCACCAGAACATAATCTTGGTGGAGCTTTCGTGCAAGCTGCCACATGGCGGTCGCGGAGAGGAAAGCGTTGACGCTGAAGAGATTCCAGTTGACGGGGACGATGTCAAGGCTGTACTTCATGAAGATGAGGCCGGTCACCGCGGCTGCCGATTGTTGCGGATAGGAAACCTTTTCTGCATAATTCAATGACAGACAGACGGGACGTCGTCAAGAATGGAGGCAAATAAGAAGATCGCTTCTCAGAAAGCAGTGGACAACGGCAATTTTCTACGCTGACCATGTTTTCGACAAATCCTTGCATTGGATCACTTAGATTAGAGGACCAACTAGCGCGTACAATGGAACATGATCCATTGCCAAAACTAAAGCCAACCTGGAGGTCGGTTGTAGTCAGCGATGTTGGCTAGGCCCAGGCTCCACTTGAAAGTGGGAGCCCAGAAAAATACGGTCTTAGGGCCAGCAGGGTGGTTGTAAAACTCCCTGGCCCATTGGAAGGCTCTAGACGAGCTCATGGTCTTAGACGCTGACTAGCACTGGCTCCCAAAGAACAATCCAATTCCAGTCTCATACAAAGATCTGGAACTGGGATGTATAATGGCGAAGATACAGGAGCACAAGGACCGGCGTGGATACAGGCAGCAGACAATGGCTTCTGCCTGCATGCAGCCCCAGACCCAGACACCAACAGTTAGGCTTCGCGACAGTAACAGTTACGCCTTCCTAAAACCAACCCAAAGTTGCCACCGGGGATGCCGCGATGGAATTGAGTTCCGCCGATTGAGGGACATTGTCCACCTAATGCAGAGATTTTTGTGTTTTGGTATGTATCAACCAATCATATTCGCTGAAGGGAATGCCATTCCGTGATCTAGGCGCATGTTGAGTTGGCATCGCAGAAGCTGGCATTGGGACTTCCCGCTGCAGACAGCTTCAGGGCGTGACATAAACGTCAATTTGACGACCAGTTACCGGAAATCGCTTGTTGTTATGAATTATAGCGCAGTATTCATTAAGGGGAACTTGACTACAATGTTATAATAGAAATGAGGCCTAGGCAACATATAGGTGTGTTGACCAGGGTTGAATGTCGAGGGAGAAACCCGTGAAGGGCTCGATAGTCCCGACGGTGACGGGGCCGAAATGGGTTCGAGGCGACTCGGGAAGAGGTTTGGGCCGAAGAAGGTCGATGGGGACTGGTTTCACGAGTGACTTGAGGGCCGAGCCTGCAGACGCGAACTGCTCGCGTGTACTCGCTGAAGCGAACCCCAATAAGGAATCGTGATTCCTTACACTCTCCCACCTCCTAAAGAAGGCACTCCCAGCATTGAGGCCGAATAGTCATTAAAAGTAGTCCCCGATGTGAATGTAAGTCTTCAGCCCTGTGACGAGCGTAATGATTACGCCGGCCTGAAGAGGTCTTCAGGACGAAATGCAATCGAGGGTAAGAAAGCATCGAAACGGTCGATTTTAATCTCAGCCGTCGAAGATGGTCAAACTTTTCAGTTGGCCGAACAGGCAAGGGTAAGTACTCCAACGGAAGCCTGTGAACAGTGAAAAACTGTCGAGTGGGCGGTTGACGATGACGAGTGGCTCTTGGATACCTTCCGTAATGATGAAACTGTCGAATGACGTGGACGATGGAGTGAAGAACCCGCTCATCAAACGTGAGGTCGTTCGTGTCACATGCGGAAGTACGCGTCCGTGTCCCACGAAAGGTCAGCGAACTCTATCAACGAAGTGACGAAATCAGGTGCGGAAGCATAACTGATACGATTGTCGGTCGAAGATGAATAATGAAACACGTCATCAGCTGCACTTCCCCCCCCCCCCCCAAAAGAAGAAACAGCTCCCAACTTCCCAGGTAAAACTCCAGGAAACCCAAATTCTAGGGTAGTAGAAATACCCTGCTGCCTAAATTCTGCAAAACTCAGCTTCGAAGATGCCGGTGAAGAACCCCAACGATGATAACTCCAAAACCCGCTCCAAGTAAATCTCAATTCGCCTGATTGTGTAAACACGACCCCGCATTGCCATTCGGGGGCAATGCGGGGTCGTGTTTACACAATGGAGGTGGTAGCGGGTGGTGGCGAGAGGAAGACCACGATGGTGATGACCTGTAACATGTACTGAACGACTCCAGTGAAAAACCTCGAGTGGAACCTAGGGTCAAATGCCCCCAACTGCATCAGCTACTTTGTCCGTACACGCCGAAAACTTCGGAAAGAGACGAAAGAGCTACTGCTCTCCCTCCGCTCCATGTACCCAGAAGACTCTGCAAAATTCGATCGATGTTGTTTGTACCCCCGATGATAGTGGGTACTGCTCCAGCTGTGAGTCCATGTACTGCTTCAGCAAAAATGTTGGAACTCCATCGATACTTAACCAAGATTGCAACATTGCTTCACAGCTACCTGTAAAAACACTTGGGCGTTACGACGTCCTTTAGCAGCGCCCCCACGGTTGTTCCACCAGCTGTACGCATGAACTGAACCCTTTATATTGGGGAACACCGGATTCCACCGCCTTGGCATCATGTTTTGGCCATGGATCAGGGTCAACGCGCATCAGACGCCGTCGATCTCAACCCAGCTATTACCCAACGCCAGAAATTCTCCGGTACCCGTGACCACCTGGCCGTGCAGACGTTCACCCATCTCGCGGTTGCTGCAGGTTACCCAAATCTTCTTCGTTGCTGCTTAACTAACTAAGAGAATCCGCAGAGATAGGAGTGCGCATGCTTCTAATCAGAGGAGCTTTAACGAGCTCGCCTACTGACCGCTGGACAGCTCCCCCCTCCGTCGGAAAACTCGTCGAACTATACCCGAAAACTCATGACAATCTTTCTGCGGTACTAGGTAAAACCCCTAGCTCCACTGCAACAGTAACTCATGAAATTTCAGGAACACTCCATCACCACAATGTAGTTCGCAGGTTCACCCCCTTATTCTGCTAAGAGTCGTCGATTAATGAGTCGACATTGCTACCTGGTAGGGATTGTGATATTCGGGCGACTTAGCTGAGCGAGCAGCAGCCCGAACGTCGCTAACCCTTAACTGAGCTCCAGTACTCCCATCGTTTTTCTTCCACTGCTTCTGCTCCAGGTAGTTGACGCTTTCGGCGACCGGTGGAAAAACACTTAATACACACCCGAAGGTGGTGGCCTCCGTTTTCGTTGATCGTTGGGGTATGAGTCGCTGGTCCACAAAAACGCTTCCCCACGCGGGACGACGCCGTCACTGAGTACACTCACTCTAGCACGGTGTCATCACCTCCAGATGGTCGTCGTGATGAATAGCGTCGAGGTCGTCAATCCCAACTACTCCCACACAACTGCACACCCACACGTGCCTCGTGCGATCGTGTCGTTCCGAAATTGTCGGATCCGCCCATTGCCGAAACAGTTTTGAAGTCCCGTCCATCGCCTGCAACTAGCCTGCCGGAAACGCTGGTACCCGCGACACAGCTACAGTTCACCCTGCCGCTGCATGGCATGCCAGACGTACATTACCGTACGTCCTGCCAATTTCGCTACCCCGCGTGCTCCTGACGACCAACTCCCGGCTGCTTGAGGACTCCCGTGCACTTGTCTCCTCATGACGAAGCCTTCGTTTTTTTCGGAAGCCAATCCGAAGACTCCGCCAGAACACCCGAAAAGCACGAAAGCTCTAACGAACGTACGCGAAAATAATTACGCTAACGTCGCCATCTCACAACGGAAGATAATTCCATCTACGCCCAGAGAAGGGGAGGACCGGCTAGTCCAATCCGTCCATCGGACAGGGTCTGACGGCATCGGAAACGCCCGCAAAATTAATCTCCGCGACGTCCGCTCGCCATCAACATCCTTCCCCCCCTTCCCCAATAGGATCTACTCCCCTACCGGAAACCTAATGGGCAGGAACATACCTGTGATACCAGCTGCTATGAATTATAACTTAGAGTATAGCGCAGTATTTAATAAAGGGAACGTCACTACAATGTTATGATAGAAATGAGGCCTGTGCAATATAAAGGTGTGTTGACCAGGGTTGAATGTCGAGGGTTGGACCAGTCAAGGGCTCGATAGTCCCGATGGTGACGGGGCCGAAATGGGTTCGGGGCGACTCAGGAAGAGGTTTGGGCCGACGAGTTCGGCGGGGTCTGGTTTGGTGCGTGACTTGAGGGCTGAGCCTGCGGACGTGAACTGTTTGCGTGTACTCGCTGAAGCGAACCCGAGTAAGGAATCGTAATTCCTTACACTTGTAACCACAGTTGAACTGCATTTGGGGCGTAAACTGCATGATGTATCCTCTCAATGTTTTGCAGAGCACTTGTGAGAGTATGTGACAAAAAAAAAAAAAACTAAAAAAACTGTGACATTCTTGTTCACCGCTCCACCTTCCCTCGCTCTCGAACTCGCGAGTCACTAACCAGGGGTACCAGTCTTTGGTGAAAATTGTATTCATGCGGCGGGGAAGTCTATCTGCAGAAGGGCATCTCTAGTGGAACGCGCTCCATGGCCTGCTCGATTTGGGTATAGTCATCTGAACCGTCGAGCTTGGTATCAAATTGGTGTCCTTGAGCTGGATTGAGCCCTAAGGGCATGGCACAAGTATGGCAAAATTGCGCACTTTGTCGAGAATTCTACACCTATTTCGGGTTAAGTTCACACCCGCGGTTTGGTTTCATGACTCAATCCAGGCGATGCTTGACTTCGACAGTTGCGGGATGGCGAAGGAATCAACTCAGCGAAATGAGCTATTTATACTGCGGGGTGGCGAAGGATGGGGGCTAGTCCATGCAGTAGGGGCGCATTCAAACTATGTGTTGAGCACTAGAGTGTATTACATACGAAATAGTCTCGAAATGACCGTCGTTGTATGAAAACTATTCAGTTACAGCGCAAACGACAAATGTGTCCAACTTGCGACTGTCACCATCTTCCGTGGGTCAAGTGGCGGTTTGCGGGAAACGGCCGCTCCATGATTCTCAGAAGGCCAAAATCTTGTGTTGCCATGCAAGTCTCGGTGAACACGTTTCCCGCGATCTGCAGTGTACGTTGAAAATCACAACCAATCTATTAGGATCGGTAGACCCCTTGGAATTGGACGCCCAGCCTTGTAAGGGTCCCGGTAGGGGCTACCGGATTCACGGCCCCTGCACGCGAGCAGCAAGAGAGCTGGCGTCTGTTGCACTGGGCCGCCTCCCTGCGGAGCTCGCCACCCTGCCGAGCGAGGGCCATGGGTGACTCGGCACGCGGACCCTGGGCCCGCGTGGGGACCAGCTGACGAGGCACCTCGTCAGCTGCGGCCAAGGGCCCGAGTGCGAACCGGACGCGAGCCTTGGAGCCTCGGCCCGAAGCTCAGACCCGGGCGCAGATAACTACACCCCCTGGCGGGGCCGTTTCCATATCGTAACCGCAGTCTTAACTCGTTTAGTCCTCGTTTATTATCATGCATGGATGTTTTCTTTCTCATATGTTTCCTTCCGTACTATGTAGTGTAAATAATAAAAAGACGTGGCAAATTGAAATAGCCAAGGTAGACTCAGACTCCCAAGTGTTCGCTAACGTGGCACGTGGTTCTAGTTTTAAAACCGGGTGTAACGTTTTGCTATGCCGAGAAAGTCCTTATGAG